ATGAAAAATCGGTCATTTTTGGCCATTTTGGTGGGCTATAGCCCATGCATTTTCGTCAAAAATCGGTCATTTTTGGCCATTTTGGTGGGCTATAGCCCATGCATTTTGATCAAAAATCGGTCATTTTTGGCCATTTTGGTGGGCTATAGCCCATGCATTTTGATCAAAAATCGGTCATTTTTGGCCATTTTGGTGGGCTATAGCCCATGCATTTTGATCAAAAATCGGTCATTTTTGGCCATTTTGGTGGGCTATAGCCCATGCATTTTGATCAAAAATCGGTCATTTTTGGCCATTTTGGTGGGCTATAGCCCATGCATTTTGATCAAAAATCGGTCATTTTTGGCCATTTTGGTGGGCTATAGCCCATGCATTTTGATCAAAAATCGGTCATTTTTGGCCATTTTGGTGGGCTATAGCCCATGCATTTTGATCAAAAATCGGTCATTTTTGGCCATTTTGGTGGGCTATAGCCCATGCATTTTGATCAAAAATCGGTCATTTTTGGCCATTTTGGTGGGCTATAGCCCATGCATTTTGATCAAAAATCGGTCATTTTTGGCCATTTTGGTGGGCTATAGTCCATGCTTTTTGATCAAAAATCGGTCATTTTTGGCCATTTTGTTGGGCTATAGCCCATGCATTTTGATCAAAAATCGGTCATTTTTGGCAATTTTGGTGGGCTATAGCCCATGCATTTTGATCAAAAATCGGTCATTTTTGGCCATTTTCGTGGGCTATAGTCCATGCTGTTTGATCAAAAATCGGTCATTTTTGGCAATTTTGTTGGGCTATTGGCCCATGCATTTTGATCAAAAATCGGTCATTTTTGGCCATTTTGGTGGTTTCTAGAATAGGATGATACTTTTGAAAGTGTAATGCACATGTTGTATTCAAAGAAAAGTTAATTTTATTAGGATCAAGAATTGGACATCATCACTGAAATCAGATATCAAAGATTTCTCTTTTCAAATAACTACAAAATGGTTTCATAATATTACAAGTTACAGACCCACATCCTGAGCATTATCAATTCACTGTTACTTATTATGTGAAAAGTTATCTCTAGTTATATGCGCCAGCGTTTTTTGAGCTGTAATAATGACYGGTTGGACCAATGGAAGAGAAAATACTTTACTTTTTGTTGCTTTTTCCATCAGAAGTTGTCCACATCTTGATGTAAAAGGCTGACTGTCTAAAAGTTAAGAGGGAATACCAAAGAATGATCCATTATAGGCCGTACCTTATAATGGTGATTGTGATGATAACAGGACACTAGGATYGATTGCTGACTTTATTAATGAACAAATCCCAGTTTAAGGGAGAAGGGGTTTTAATCCTATCCACATTAGGCCGGGATACTATAGCATGTTGATCTCCCGGAGGGGCGGGGGACTCCCTAATATCAAAGGGCGAGGGTCCTTGGCGTCCCTTTTAGGGTTTGAAATCAATATAATGGTCCCGCTTAGGGTGATAATGACGAGAATTCCTACCAACTGAGTTTTGTGGTCCCTTTTAGGGTATATGACGTCCCTAAGCTGTCATTATGAGTTCAAAAACACAGCTGCTAATTAGATGATTGATTTTATTTTAATCAATTTCACTCCTTAACTCTTTCCCGTCTGCCCCTTGAAATTTAGGTCGTATTCGACCTATGCATCAAAAGTCTATAAGTTGCCGAAATAGTAAGCTAGAGCCCTGAAATTGCTCGTACGAACTTACTAGTAGATACTGTCGATCTTACAGTTGAAAGAATTTCGCAACGAGGAAACAAAAGACACAAAACATGACTCTGCTTTGAAATGAATGCCAAAATCTGAGTTTGAAGGACGGCAGAGTACACTGATTTTCATCTCAATTTGTAGCGTCAAAATATGTTCTCCTAGCAAAAAGTCCACTTGGTTTGCAAACCCCTTTGATAGAACGTCCTCATTTCGATGTTTT